CGCCTCACTAGCTCGGAAAGGCTTTCTTTCTTATAAGAAATCTGCGCGCAGAAGCGTTTTTTGCACACTAGCGTGGAAAAGGTTTTTGAAATTCGAACTTGACTATGGAATGTGGTGCACCCATTGACTTACAAATAAATGGACGACGGGTCTAATACAAAAACCACGAAAAAAATGTCCCAAGTCAACCTATTTAAACGTAGTGACATGTAAAGGAATATGAAAAAGCTAAAACGTTGAATTGAAATTGTAATGTCATCGCAGTACTGTCATTTATTTGTAAGTCAATGGTCGTAACCATTCAAATAACAAAGTAATATATTAGAGCGTTCGGGGAATAAGTCTGCAGGCAAGGAATTCCACTAAAGAGTGGAAAACTAACTTAGAAACAGCCCTTTTTTCCTATATCTATGGGAATACCTAAGGAACCGTTAGCCATATATGTAAATATGGATAATCGCAAATGAGTCTGGTGCATACAGCGAACAGCGAACAAGTGAAAACTGTGTACTCTTTATTTCGATCGTCGATTTATTAATAACATACGGGTTATAGAAACCCTACATTGGAAAAAAATAATGAAGGAATAGTTTACAACAAAAAGAATAATGCGGATGAACAATTAAACACAATTAAACATAAATAGGCTTACAACTGCAACGTGTGAAATTACAGTACAATTGCAACACCAAGATTTATTACAATGATACTACGATTTTGTAAAATTAATGATCAAGGAAAAAACGCAATATCTCTGAATACATAATGCGGTGTTATGTACCAATAGATGCTGCAATAGTAAACAAATAAATAAGTAATTTTCAGGTTAGGTTTCTCTTACTAATATAGGTGGCAATTTTTCTTATTCAAATATAATATTTGAATATTATAATGTTTGAATATAATATTATCATGAAGTATTATTTAATATTCGAGTGTACTTCGCGTGTTCATAAGTTTTGAGACGAACTAAAAATTACTTAAAAATTTAAAGAATTAAGTTATATTTTTTAAATTTTCAGATAATTATGAATAGGCTTATGGACAACAACTACCAGCAATTATTACTTAAAATGAAACTATTAATACAAGCTCTTAAAAATTCTGGCCAATCTGGGGTCGCGCCACGAATCTTCTCCAGTGGGTTTCCATTCGCTTCTTTGATGAGGGCCCGCTTTAGAGAATCCAAGTTTGGATGGGACTTTTGGCACAGAGCCAATTCAGTCCACAGAGAATAAATAGCCAAGTGGGTTAAGATCAAGACTAGAGGGTAGTCATTCTTCCGCCGCGATGAAGTCCGGAAAATTTTATTTAAAGAAGTATTTGCTGTGCTTTTATCGATTTAGCCTTATAGGCTGGTGCTAAGTCTTGCTGGAAAATCCATTGTTGTGAAATAAAGTATTAGACAGGGGTTTCACCCCTGTCTCTAAAATGTTACTTTGATTTTTTTTTTGTTTTACCTTAACGCTTTAGAGCGGAGTGACAAGAACCTTTTTTCAGCAGGAAATCCTTATGGATATTCTCCGCCCGAGGATGCAAGGGTTACGTCGGACTCGTACCGACTAAAACCTGACGGTCTTTCACCCCGTCGCTTGCCGGTGAGATCTCAATTGCACACTACCGCGAACCTACCAGCGACTGTTTTCTTCAGCACCACTGTGGGAGACTATTAAACGAAGCGCTCTCTACGTCTCACGCTGATAACGCATAGAAACACAATAAACGGCAGCATCGAAGACCTGTCTCCGACCCTATTCTAACCTATAGTTACAAATATATTAAATTTTAACTACCTTATTTAAAGCAAAAAATATCCAATTTTCAATTTCCAATGGGCATCTGATCAAATTCAGAATTTGAGCTTGGCCACAATCTCACTTGATATGATAGACAATGTGATAAAAAATATCTATTCACTCTAGCCTTGAAGAACCCAAATTGTACTTTTCGGGAAACACAGATAAAGGTAGAGTACCTATTTCATTCCTTTGCAGTACGTATCAGAAAGGAGGAAGTAAAGCGCTTCAGACATAAGCATGGAGTGTTCTGGACCTTCTAGTCGACTGACGGAGGAACGGTCAGGGTGGAACTAAACTGAAAAGTTCCTACGCACACTACCCGAAATGTATCCGATAGAAAACCGACAAGCAGGCTACTTTTCTGCGATGGTCAAGATTTTGTAACTTCGACTCCACAAGAGAGTTGTTGTTAATAATTCTTTTTTTTTCTTTTCGCTCCACCGAGTCTAAGGCAGCTAACTGATAATGAGCAGAGTCGTCCCAAAGGTGCAGCAGTACCTCATACACGATCGAACTCGTGCTTTATACAGATTTCAATTTTCTATTAAGTGTTTTTTAATGTCTCATTCATAATGTTGTACGGTTTATTAAACCGCTAATCTGCCAATCGCGAAATCGCGACGTTTAACATTAAATTAAAGTTTATACAGCATTTTGCTTTGGAGTAATATTGCCGACATTAATAAAACCTTGTACTGCAGAAATGTGTGATTAGGGCAATTTACTATCTGGTCCCCGGAGTGTCTCTAAGATATAAGTTTATAGAGATTAACATTCTTACACTAGCGTCACAGAACGTTTCTGAAATGTAATTTATGTTAAGAAGAATAATGTTTTTTTTTATGAAAAATCGTCTTACACTAATGTCAATAACAAAAAAAATAATAGTGACAGCCATAACATTAATACAAGGAATAAAAATAAACTAGATGTTCTTGGCAGTCATCTTCACAAAGTCACAAATTCATTTAAAATCATAAAATTAAAATTCATCCAAAAACTATGTATACGCTTGTATAACAAGATTCATAGTGAAACAAAAACTTTGTACTTAAGGCATTGACTTACAATTATATGGACGTCGGGTCCGCGCTAAAAAGTGTCCGAACTCATAGGGCGTTAAAATCGTATACAGAGCGTCATTCACGCTTTAGTCTTCGTTTGTTCAACTGACAGCGAAGCAAGCAAAATTAGACAGTACTGCGATGACATTATAATTTAAATTCAACGTTTTAGCTTTTTCATATTCCTTTACATGTCACTACGTTTAAATAGGTTGACTTGGGACATTTTTTTCGTGGTTTTTGTATTAGACCCGTCGTCCATTTATTTGTAAGTCAATGACTTAAGGTTATTAAACAGCTTCTACTTGGATGACAAAAATCTATTGCAGTGACCCGTTTAATCCCTGCAGGTATTCTCAATCTAAGATGTTTGAAATAAATATTGTAGATGATCAATGTATTCTAAGGTATATTTACAAAGAGCAATCCCTAGAGCATCTTGCTCAGTTTTCTCAGGGAAATCTGCCTTACGAATGAGCGGTAGAGTTGAATCAATAATAAGTACTTTGTATTCATAGGCATTTTACATATTTAAGCAGGATGAATACACCAATGAATAATTTAATCAATAAGATATAAACTAGCTTCCTCACTCTAACATTGTTGATTGTTGCCAGCGAAGTATTTAATAAAAACGATGACAATGACCGACAGGCTTTACTAACGAACAACGTTAATTGAGTGTTTTTAACAAAACAAAAACCGCTAGTTAAGGCCAATCAAGTCATCTTTGGAGTCGATTGTTGTAAATAAGATGATAATTGATTTAGAGTTGATTCTTCCGTAGGCATCTTACATTGTATCAATACATCTTCCTTATAAATAGAAAAACTATCAATTTGATGTACCTACAAAGCATTGTGAAACACGTTGCTTACAACGGTCTGCCTGTAATTATGGAAAATCATTGACCACGTAATAGTTATTTGTTAAATAGATATCAAAGTTTCTTGTGCATGGTCATCATTATATTTAAATTTACTTCCGCACAATATCTGATAAACATAAGACTAACAAGCAGTTACCAGTAACATAACTCGCCCATAAAATTGAGAAAATAAATTAATATGAGCTCATATAACATCCTGTTCATTCTAAAATACCTGAATCGTCTATTGATAGACTAATTCAATGATATTTTTAACCACGGATGCAAAAAGAGGGGAGTTTTTTTATGGACAAAGTGTTATAAGAGATATCTGGATGGAAAGAGAGTTAAGACTTTAGTCTTTTTCTGTGCACTAGTCGTACGCGTGATGGTAAGCTATACGCCATACCAGTTGCAGTGCCACTCAGAGCTTTAAATCTTAAAGATCTGAGGGGCACAGCCACTGCGCCTGTCATCCTGAGACATAAGTTGACAAGTCCCATGTGCCTGTAATTTCACCAGCACCCTATCCCGTCAAAACTGGAACGCAATAATGATCACATTACCGCTTGCCGGCAGATATAGGTAAGGTAGCAGTACTTCCCCGGACGAACTCTTTCACAATGAGCGATTTTTTTTAAACTTAAAATGGTTATTATAGTCCCTGGTGAAGCAGCCAACGGATTTACATTTAAAACGGTAATTTTGCAGGAATTCAACGGTACATTTATCGAATTTAGCAAAAATGGTGTGCTTCTGGAGAGTCAACTTGTAATATCGTATCTAGAGTTAACGATTAGCTGATTAAAGTTTCTAGACTTTCGCGATTGTTACAAATAGGAAACGAAACATTTTTTTTTGTATAAAAAAAATGAAAAAAGTCTTTAAAAAAATCTTTTTCTAAAAAGTTACTTAACCGCTTTCGCTGTATTTGTTACATTTATTTGCCAAGTTTTATTCAAATCGGTTAATAGAAAGTGAGTAAAATCCAATAAACCGGATTAATTAGGGGTAATTTGCCACCGTTAGGGGTGGGGTATTTTCTTCAGCTTTGAATGGGACGACTACTGAGACACCCCTTTCCAACAAAAAAATAATCGACGAAATAGGTTCACAAACGTCCGAATAATCGCATAATATAAAAAAAA